TGTGTCCTCCCAGGACAGAAAGAGCCCCACATGTCTGGAGCACTTCGAATGAGAGGGTTGGTGGGCTGAGAACAGCATGTAGGGAGAGAGAAATCTGAAGAAGACTCTTGGATCCTTTGTTAATTCCCCCAGTGACCCTTTCCTCTGGGTGGACACAGCCCCTCACCCAGGGAACAGGGTGCAATGAAGGATGCGTGGCTGGATTTAAGCCCTTCTTGTCTCTCTACCAGGTACCTTCGGGCAGCGTACAGCTGTTATGGCTCAAGTAACACTCGGCTGCTCCCCTGGATACCGATAAATCAAAGGGGGCAAGGAACTGGCAGAAAGAATTTTATTTCTGAGTTCGAATCCAGGAAGCAGAGTCAGACTCGAGGTCTTTCTAAAATGGTTCTTCTCCCCCTCCAGGCTTTTACAGTTCACTTTTTATAAGTCCAGAGTCGTCGGCATCTATACATCAGCCACGTGACCCGCTGAGCATTGTATTAAACTTGAGTTTCAGCCGCATTGATCGACCGTGATATTTTCCAGCCCAGACTTGCTGGTGCCAGGGATCAGAGGTATCTCGTGGCTTTTATCAGTAGGGCTTGGCAGAAGCGTTCATCAAGCTTGCCACAGAGGAAAGGGAGTTTACAAGGCTTGAGACATCGTGCATTACGCAAAAGTTATACAAATCACAAGACGCTGATACTATATTGCCCAAATAACATAGATACTATATTACTCAAACCTATAACCACTCAGAAAAAGGGAGCAAAAGGAGATTTGCGTTTTTCAGTTGATTGCGCTTAGACCACAGGGAAGGCAAGGATCCCCTGAGCTACTTATTGGGAGTGCAGAGGAGATAAGGGGAAGCACACCTTTAATTTGCTCTCAGGAATATTATTCAGGACCGAACAGTAGCGATTGTGCCTTTGCCGCGCCCTCCTCTAGGGGCTGTGAAGATGTGGACAGACATTAGCGGGTCTCTGTATCACCACCTCCAGAATTGTACCTGGAGGACCTGGGTAGCCCCATTCATTGTCTACCTGTGATGGAGCCAGGTGGAAGGGAGAAGTCCTAGCTCAGTGCTGGCCGGGTTAAATTTGAGATGCCATGTGCCACCAGAGCATTGCTGAGTAGACAGTGGAATGTGTCCAACTAAAGCTTATGACAGGCCGGCTCGGTGGCTCAGCCTGTCATCCCAGCACTTTGGGAGGCCAAGGCAAGTGGATTACCTGAGCGAGTATACACTACATCAAAAATTAGCCAGGCGTGGTAGGGCACGCCTGTAGTTCCGGCTACTTGGAAGGCTGAGGCAGAAGGTGCACCAGAGCCCAGCAGGGCGAGGCTGGGGTGGCTGGGAGCGTGCCTCTGCACTCCAGTCTGGGCCACAGAGGGAGATTCTAACTCAAAAAATAAATAAAATAAAACTTATGACAGTGTCCCCAACGGGTCACTTTGCATTCCTGCATGAGGACACGTGCCGATGAGAGCATAGAGAGGGGAGAGGGAGCCTTCCAAGGTGCAGATCTGCCGGTGAGGTGCTTACCAGTTAGTGGGTGACATCCACAAAATGCTTAAGCATCAGAGTTTAAGGTGGTGCTCGTGTTGAGGTCCTGAAAAGGCAGGCCCGGCTCCTGGGAGTGAGTGCCACCTTAAATTGCAGGCGGAGACAGGACAGTCCTTACAAACAAAGGATGCCGGGTGCTGGAACAATTAGACATCCCTTTGGAGAAAAAAATAAAAAAATAAAAAAAACAGCCTCAACTTTCAATTCACACCTTAAAGAAAAACAAAAAATAGGGCGGGCTTGGTGGCTCAGCCTGTCATCCCAGCACTTTGGGAAGCCCAGGCGAGTGGATGAGTGGATGGCCTGAGCCCGCGGGTTTGAGACCCACCTGGGCAACTTGGTGAGACCTCGTCTCTACAATAAATCAAAAATTAGCCGGGTGTGGTAGTGTGCACCTGTAGTTCCGGCTCCTTGGAAGGCTGAGGCGGAAGGATTGCCGGAGCCCAGCAGGTCGAGACTGCAGTGGCCGGGAGCGTGCCACTGCACTCCAGCCTGGGTGACAGAGTGAGACTCTGACTCATAAATAAATAAATAAAAATAAAAACAAAAATAGACTCTGACTCCCAGCACAAAAGCTGTAACTATAAGACTTTTGTGGAAACAAAAGGGGAGAATTTTCAGGGCTTGGAGGTAGGGTGAAAGTTTCTAAGAAGACACAATAAGCAAAAACCAAAAAAGAAAGATCAACTGGATTTTCATCCAAACGAAGAACTTTGAAAAACATGGCTGAGAAAAGGAAAAAAGAAACAGACTGAAGTAGAGAAGCACTGGAAAGAAGGTAGAGGGGAAAAGAGACCCTCGCCTGCTGCTGGGAGCACGGTCAGTTGGTGCAGCCATTGTGGATAACAGTATGGCAGTCCCCAAAGAAATTAAAAATTGGACTGCCACATGAGTATATGCAAAGTAACCCCTCTTCTGAGTATATGCCAGAAGGGAATTAAATCCCCACCTCACGCCTGACATCCCAGCACTTTCAGAGGTCGAGGCGAGAGGATTTCCTGAGCCCAGGGGTTCGAGACCGGCCTAGGCAACCTAGCAGGATCCAGTCTCTACAAAAAGTTTCAAAAGACAAAAGTAAATAAATTAACACATTAGCCAGGCATAACAGCACACGCCTGTAGTCCTAGCGACTTGGGAAGCTGAGGCAGAAGGATCACCTGAGCCCAGAATGTCAAAGCTGCAGTAGACATGAGTGTGCCACTGTACGCCAGCCTGGGCAACAGGGTGACCTTCCAACTTGGGGAAAAAAAAGCAAAGATACCTACGCTCCCATGTTCATTCCAGTGTGATTCGTAATGGCCAGAATATGGAAACAAACAATAGATGAATGAATAAAGAAATTGTGGTATGTATGCAGAGAGAAATAAAATAAATGTATTTTTTGAGTTGGAGTCTCACTCCATCGCCCAGGCTGGAGTGCAATGGCACGCTCATGGCGTCGACCTGCTGGGCTCCGGCGATCCTTCTGCCTCAGTCTTCCAAGCAGCTGGAACTCCCACAACCGGCTAACTTTTTGACTTATTGTAGAGACGAGGTCTCACCATGTTGCCCAGGCTGGTCTCAAACCCACAGGCTCAGGCAATCCTCTCACTTCAGCCTCCCAGAGTGCTGGGATTACAGGCTTGAGCCACTGCGCCCAGCCGAGAGATAAAATATTATTCAGCCTTAAAAAAAAGCCACAGCATGGCTGAACTTGGAGGACATGACAGGCTGAAATATGCCAGACACAGAAAGAAGAAGATTGTAAATACATACACGATCTCTCTCTTAAATGTGGAACCTTCAAAAAATTGAGTACATAGAGAAAGAGAGAGCTATGGAGGGTGGGGAAATTGGAAAGAAATAGGTCAAACCGTACAAAGATGCAGTTGTGTCGGGTAAATCAATCTGGAGATCTAATATATGACACGAGAACTGTAAGCAATAGTATTGTATTGTATACTCGTAATTTGCCCAAGGAGTAGATTTTAGGTACTCTTATCACAAAAAAGAAAAGAAAGAAGGAAAAAAGGGAAGAAGGAGGGAAAGAAAGAAGGAGGGAGGGGGTAGCTATGAGATGATGAGCATATTAGTTTGCTTGATGGTGGTAATCATTTCACCACGCATATGTATATCAAGATAAATATATCAAAATACCATACTGTACACTTTAAATATATACGGTAAAGAAGTCAGAAACTATAAAACAAATAAAAATTTGGGAAAAATTTTAAAGATGGGCGTGGTGGCCCATGCCTGTCATCCCAGCACCTTGGGAGGCCGAGGCGAGAGGATGGCCTGAGCCCATGGGTTCAAGACCCGCCTGGGCAAGAGGGTGAGACCTCATCTCTACAATAAATCAAAGAAATTAGCCGGGCATGGTGGTGTGCACCTGTAGTTCTGGCTACTTGGAAGGCTGAGGTGGAAAGATCGCCTGAGCCCAGCAGGTCGAGGCCGTGGTGGCTGTGAGGGTGTCCCTGCACTCCAGCCTGGGCGACAGAGTGAGACTCTGACTCAAAAAAAAAAATTTAAAAGAAAGTGATGTCACAGACTCAGAGAAAATATTCCAATACATATATCTGACATAGCACCTGTATCCAAAATATATAAAGAATGCTTATAACTCAATAACAAAAATACCAGGGATCCCACTTTTTAATGGTCATCAAATAAAGAAAATAAACAAATGGCCAATAAGCACATGAATCGATGCTCAACATCACCAGTCACCAGGAAAATGCAAACGTAAACCGTAGTAAAATACCACTTTCCTCCCACTAGGATGGCTAAATTAAAAGCAATGAAAATACCAAGCGTTGGTGAGTGTAAGGCAACTGGAATTTTCAGATACTGTTAGTGGATATGCAAAACGTACAAGCATGTTATAAAACAGCTTCGCAGTGTCTGACAAACGTACGACTAAGCAAACAAAATATCTATGCGAAGACTTATACACACGTTCGGAGGTGTTTTACTCATAATAGCCAAAGACTTGGAAACAACCCAAATGTCCACCCACAGGAGGCTCAATAAACAGAGTGTGGACATCCACACACCAGCGGTAAAAACCAAACTACTGATGCAGACAACAGCAGGCGTGATTCACAGAAACACCATGTTGAACAAACAAAACCCCAAAGAAAAGAGGACATTCTAGAAGATTCCACCTATAGACATTTTACAAACAAAGGGCATATGGATGGCAAATACAAGATGTTCAACATCTTTTTTTTTTTTTTTTTGAGTTGGAGTCTTGCTCGGTCGCCCAGACTGGCGTGCAGTGGCCGCTCCCGGCCACCGCAGCCTCGACCCGCTGGGCTCCGGCGATCCTTCCGCCTCCGCCTTCCGAGTAGCTGGAACTACAGGCGCTTGCCACCACATCCGGCTGATTTTTGATTGATTGTAGAGATGAGGTCTCGCCAAGTTGCCCAGGCAGGTCTCGAGCCTCACCTCGGCCTCCCAAAGGCGCGGGATGACAGGCTGAGCCACCGAGTCTGGCTGTTCGACGTCTTTTATGAGCCACGATGCACCTCTCCAAATGGCTGGAATAAAAAAATAAGGGTAGTGCCTGTATTCAGCAAGGTTCTCCGAAGAAACAGAAGTTATGGAGATGTATGTATACATATATATATATATATAATATGTGGGTATATAAACATATAGATACAGACACATAAGAGGAGATGTTTTGTTTTTTGAGTTGGGGTCTCACTCTGTTGCCCAGGCAGGAGTGTCACGGCACAATCACAGCTCACCACAGCTTCAACCTCATGGGCTCAGGTAGTCCTTCCCCCTCAACTTCCTGAGTAGCTGGGACCATGACACCCAGCTAATTTTGTTGATTTTTTTGTAGAGACAAGGTCTCACTATGTTGCCCAGTCTGGTCTTGAACTTCTGATCTCAAACAATCCTCCCACCTCGGCCTCCCAAAGTGCTTAGATTATAGGTATGAGCCACCACACCCGACCAGAAGAGGAGATTTATTGGGAAGAGCTAGCTCATGTGATTATCTCCATGAGAAGTCCCACAGCCTGCCATCTACCAGCTGGAGACTCAAGAAAGCCGGTAACTCAGTCCAGCTCCCGAGACCTGACAGCCCAGGGAGCCCATGGGGTAAGTGCAATTCCCAGTCCGAGAGCAGGACAAGATGAGATGTCCCGGCCCGGGCAGCCAAGCAGGAAAAAATAGGCCAAAGTTCTGCCTTTTTGTTCTATTCAGGTCAGTTTTGAAGGAAACTGGGTAAAGGGTACAAGAGTTTTCCAAATCATTTCTCACAGCTGCATATGAACCTACAGTCACCTCAAGATAAAAACATGTAGCTAAAAAGGCATCGTGCAATGATTTCAGCAAAATATTTGCAAGATCTGTATATAAAATGTTAAGGAAGAGCTCAGCACATAGAGACAGGCCACGTCCCTGAAGAGAAATACCTGTTGTCTTGAAGGTGTCAGTGATCCTCCCAAACGATCCACGCAATTGTGAAGTTCAGCTTCTGTGGAGGAGATGACAAGGTCGAGTCAAAGGCAGTAAGAGAACCCCTCAGAGCCGGACTCGGTGGCTCAGTCTGTAATCCCGCGCCTTTGGGAGGCTGAAGTGAGTGGATTGCCTGAGCCCGC